CCATTTCCATGTATCTCCTGAGCTGTTTGAGTGACATCTCAGAAGGAACCATGGACAGTGCAGGTCCCTTCCTACTGAATGAAATGCAAACATGCGCGTTACAGACTGTGAAGTGCCTCAATTGGATGCTTCGTCTAGTCTAGCAGATCTATGGGTGGGAGAGGAGAGCTGTTCTTTTAGCTGAATCTCATGGAATCACCCTTGCCTCTGAAAGCCTGGGCAATTTCACACAGCAAATCTCTTGGGTGGCCGGACTTACAGAGGCAATGTGGTGTGTGTGTGTGTGTGTGTGTGTGTGTTGGGGGGTGCAGGGCAGAAGGTGTGTTCATGCACGCACGCAGGTGTACAGTCATCCTCTATCCTTAAAATGGAGTCAAAAGCTGCTTGTAAAATGGAGTATCTCAGAGCAAGGTTGAATATCAGTTTGTTTTGTTTTTGTTTTTTGAGACAGGGTTTCTCTGTGTAGCTTTGATTGTCCTGGGACTCGCTCTATAGACCAAGCTGGCCTTGAACTCAGAAATCCACCTGCCTCTGCCTCCTGAGTGCTGGAATTAAAGGTGTGTGCCACCACCCACCCGGAAAAAAATTACTTTTTTATACAATATGGAGTAACGTAGTCATTGTACATCCTCATCTTCACAGTCCACCTCCCAGCTGGCTATAATTACAGGCTTGTACCCCTAGGCCTGGCTAGGATATGAATGTTTTCAGGAGGTCATTATTCAGCCTGGTATAGATTGAATATAAAAAATTTTCAGTAGGCAAGCTAGAGAGATGGTTCAGTGGTTAAGAGCACTGGCGGCTCTTCGAGAACCCAGCTTCTATTCTTAGCACACACATGGCAGCTTACAACCACCTGTAACTCTAATACCAGCGATGTCTGGTACCCTCTTCTGTCTCCAAGGGCACTAGGCAAGTACACGGCGCATAGACATACATACAGGCAAAACGCTCATCCGTTTAAAATGAAAAAAAAGAATTAGAAAATGAATTTTCTTTCTTTCTTTCTTTCTTTCTTTCTTTCTTTCTTTCTTTCTTTCTTTCTTTCTTTCTTTCTTTCTTTTTGGCTTTTTGAAACAGGATCTCT